GAAAAGGGGACTGAAGAATGAAGGACACTTGCATAGACACAAGTGGGCAGAAAGCGCTGCCCAGAGAGAGACAGGTTTGCTGAGAGAGGCCTGCATTGTTGCAGGTGGGCGGCCTTGAGGAGAGCTGCCTCCTCTGAGGGAGGTGGGTGAGGAGAAGCCCCAGCATGGTACAGGTCATGGGTAGGCAGGAAGGCTACTGCCCTGCAGAGGGAGAGATTTGGTGAGAAGTAGCACCTACATAGTCACAGGTGGGCAGACGGACTGCTGTCCCAGCCTGTGCAGAGACTGTACTGATATAGTCTTCTTCTCTTTGGGAGTCACTCACTCCTTTGTGGAGTGGCTTGTTCGCTACTGATTTTGGATAACTGCAGAATCTGAAAGGGGCTGGAGATTCCAGGATGCCCCAATCTCTGCTTCTTTACCCTCAGGTCTGTGCTCTCTCTCCATGATGCTCCCTACAGCAGCCTAATACCTGCTTGGGCCTTATGCCTTGTGATAAGGCACTGGCACCTAAGGATCTTGATTTCTACAGCTGGGTTAATGGTCATGTTAACCCTCTCTACCCCCGACCTCCTTGTGTGAGTCAGACTTAAGTCTTGTGATGATTCCTTTAGGTTTTCTATTCTCTCCTCCATCAATAATACTATTAAACTTGTTTAAGTATAAAATGAGTCATACCAATAGTACTGATGATATGATATTGTGATTTATAAGAAATATATATTTGATCATTCAGGTGACCAGAATATATTTCTCATCTATATTTGGTCTTTATACACTGTTCCTGACTCACGACTTCGAAAGGCCTTGGAATTTTCTAAGTGTTGAGCCTGTTATGAGTCCCTTGTTATGTTAATGAAGGTAACTTTTGGCAAGTGACTGGTTGCCAGGGAAGTGTGTGATTAGAGGGTTGGAACTTCCAGTACCACCCTCAGAACTTCAGTAGGGAAGAGGAGCTGGAGGTTGAATTCAGTCACCAACGGTCAATGATTTAATCCTGACTATGTAATAAAGCCTCCATAAACCCCACAGGAGGAGCTTTTCGGGTTAGGGAACATGTGGAGATTTGAAGGGCATCGTGTACCTGAAGAGGGCACCACATGCCTCTCCCCACACCTTGCCCTGTGCATCGCTTCCATCTAACTGTTCCTGAGTTCTACCCTTTGTAATAAATCAGTGACCTAATGAATAAACAGGTTTCCTGAGTTCTGTGAGCTGCTCTGGTAAATTGATGGAAACTGAGGAGGGGGTCCTAGTGTAACAAGGAAGCCCCCAGAGAAAGCGGAAGTTCCAGGTTTCCTGCCTCATCCCAAGGAAGGGTGGAGCAGGGCAGGGAGAGCAAGCTAGAGAAGACAGGGAGAAGGAAGGAGGTCAAGAAGGAAATTGGTAGGCGCCACATAGAGCCAAGACATATGTGAAGAAGCTGACCTTGCATTTTGGCCTTGGACTTGTACCAGGGACTTGGGGTCATGGACACAAGAGACACTTGAAAGAGACAAAGACATGGGGGAGAGGCCCTGGGGAGGCTGACAAAGGCAGCCTTTTTTTATTATGCATACAAGCGCTGGGGTGTAGGCCAGAGGTGGGGTAGGGGTGGGAAGAAGGCTGAGAGGATTCACCAGAGACAGAGTGGGGAACAGAACAGGCAGACTGACTGAAACACACTGCTAAGGGGAGCAGTGAGCTAGATAGGAGAGTTCCCCTGCGCCATGTGGGTTAGCTTCCTGGCTGGGGATCAATGGGGATCCATGCTGCAGATAGCTTCATAGTGCTTGAGACTTAACCCCTTGCGCCACCAGGGAGGCCCCAGCAGACATTATCTTGACATGGGTTTTGATTTTGCTCTTTTCCTTCCAGACTTACCTGGCCCCTTGTGCCTCTTTCCTATGGGTCCCCAGCAGACGATACCTTAGATTCGTGGCAGGCTTCTGGGCCTCAGCAGTCCTGGGCATTTACCTAAGGTCAGGGGGTGAGGCGGGGGGAGAAGAAATGAGAAATTTTTGTTTAATTGGAAACTACTTTAACTATATATTTTTTTAAAGATTTATGTATTTATTTATGCATGCAAGAGCTGGGGTGCAGGCCAGAAGTGCAGGGTGTGAGAGGATTCACCAGAGACAGAGTGGGGAACAAAACAGGCAGACTGACTGAAATACACTGCTGAGGGGAGCAGTGGGTGAGACAGGAGAGGTCTGCTGCGCCATGTGGGTAGCTCCCTGGCTGGATATTGAACTCATGCTGCAGAGGCTGCGGACAGTTTCATAGGTTGCATCTTAATCCTTTGTGCCACCAGGAGGCCCTTAACTATATTCTTTATCTTCTCTGCATTGCACACTGATTGTATTAAGGTTTCTTTCCACTGAAGGTCTTACACACTAGAGTATGTTTTGTCTTGATGAGGAGGATGGCAGAACCTATTTAAAACAGGCTGGTTTGGGGTTTCCGGGGTATCCCTCCTTCTTACCCGATAACCGTGGGACGAGTCAGTCAGAAGCCCAGGCTTGTGGCCCACATCTGAAGAGGAGGGCACTCTTGGGAGACTGGGCCCTTACCCTGATGCTACCTTCAGTGAGACAGTGTTGTCACTAAGTTGGATTCTCAGACACCCGAGAATCCAGCATTGTTTGGTGGCGTGGAGAAGCCTCCACACACTTTCGCAATTGGGTTGCAAAAACCTGTCTAGGTGGTATTAGGAAAATGACAGAAGTCGAGATAGTGCTGTCCAGTGATGGAAGATAGCTGGTATATAAATAATAATGCTGTTTATTACTGTTTATGAACTCCAGTGCTATCTACTGCTGTCCAATAGAATCTGTGATGATGAAAATGCTCTGTATCTGCACTTTCAAAGCCACATGTGGTTATTAAATCTTTTAAATATCACTAATGTAACTAAAGAATTAATTTTTTCTTATATTTACTTTACTTTAATTAATTAATTAATTTTTTAAATGGAAGGGTTTTTTAAAAAAATTGTTTATTTATTCAAGCATTGGGTATAGTCAGAAGCGAGGGATGGTGAGAGAATTCACCAGAGCCAGAGCAGAGAGCAGAACAGGCAGAAGGACCAAAGTACACTGCTGAGGGGAGCAGCGGGGCGGCAGGAGAGGTCTGCGTGCCATGTGGGACCCTCGCCCGGCGGCCAGGGATCGAACCAGCGTTGCAGAGGCTGCAGGCAGCTTCGCAGCCCAGGGCTCAACCACTGTGCCACCAGGGAGGCCCCATATTTTAATTTAAATGTAAGTGTATTTACCATATTAGAGCAAGCCTAAGGGACCTAAGTATAGTAGTTAATAAAATCTTCATGACATATTTAGGGTAATTACTATTATTGTCATCCTCATCTTGCTAATGAAGAGATTTAGGCTTTGAAAGTTTGCTTGAGGTCACATAATTAGTAAATAGTAGAGGCAAGATATGAAGCCAGACCCATTCAACTTCAGAAGTTACTTCAGAAAGTTACTTTTAATTGTGTCCCACTGAAAAATAGAAGCTAAAGCACAGTAGGTGAATAGCCCTGGCCCCAGTACAATACTAAAACTGGCAGACTGGGTATTCCTGCTACTGGAGTGGTTTAGTTTGTCATGGGAGAGCCTTGAGGGTGGTTGGTATGACTGCTGATTCTTGGGTTGAATTGGTGAGTGAATGAGTCCACAGGAAGCAGTAAGATTTTTCCACACTGAGGGCTAATCCTGATGAGGTAAACTTTCATTAAAACTTAAACCTCTTCAGGCCTCCCCGGTGGCGCAGCGGGTTGAGCACAGCGCTGTGAAGCTGTCCACAGCCTCTGCAGCGCGGGCTCAATTCCCGGCCAGTCAGGGAGCTTCCCAAATGGTGGCAGACCTCTCCTGTCTGGTCCACTGCTCCCCTCTGCAGTGTATTTCAGTCGTCCGCCTGTTCTGCTCCCCGCTCTGTCTCTGGTGAAGCCTCTCACCCTTTGCGCCTCTGGGCTGTACCCCAGCTCTTGTATAAAAATAAATAAATATTAAAAAAAAATACAAAACTTATACCTCTTCACTGAGTTCCAAAGATGTCACTTGCTCACTTGATAGTTCTTCTTGAACATGTACTAGGCACTTCAGATATTTCATGATTTCACCAAAAAATTAAAAAATAAAACTTTTCTTTTTTTAAGATTTATTTATGCATACAAGAACTGGGGTACAGGCCAGAGGTGCGGGGGTGAGAGGATTCACCAGAGAGAGTGGGGAACAGAACAGGCAGATGTACTGAAATACACTGCTGAGGGGAGCAGCAGGTGGGGCAGGAGAGGTCTGTTGCGCCATGTAGGTAGCTCCCTGGCAGGTCAGGGATCGAACTCATGCTGCAGAGGCTGCAGATAGTTTCATAGTACTAGCCTTAACCCCTTGTGCCACCAGGGAGGCCTTCCTCCCTACTCCTTCAATCCAAGTTCCAGCATGTCTTGCAACCCTCTGTATCCCCAACTCCTGCAACAGTGCCTGACATAGTCTAAGTAAAACCCCCTTGCAAAACCCCCCTGGCCTGCATCCCAGCTCTTGTATGCATAAATAAATCTTAAAAAAAAAAAAAATCTAGGGCTTCCCTGGTGGCGCAAGGGGTTGAGACTCAACCTATGAAGGTATCCGCAGCCACTGCAGCACGAGTTCGATCCCCAGCCAGGGAGGAGACCCACATATGGCGCAGCAGACCTCTCCTGACTTGTCCACTGCTCCCCTCAGCAGTGTATTTCAGTGGCTCCGCCTGTTCTGTTCCCCACTCTGTTTCTGGTGACTCCTCTCACACACCCTCTGCACCCCAGCTCTTGTATGCATAAATAAATAAATCTTTCAAAAAAAAAATCTTTCTCTGCTCTCACTTCCTCATTCTGGGGTGAAAGGCTCTTTCAGCGAAACTCTCGGTCACCACAAAGGCCCTCCATCCCGCCAGGAGGGGGCGCGCCAGAGCGCAGGCGCGGGGCGGGCGGGCTCAGGGATTGGTGGAGAGAGTAGAACCCTGAAGCGGAAGTCCCGCCCAGGCTGGCCGGAATTTCCGGCTCCCCCTGCAGGGGCTTACGCTGACCGAGCGGAGCCGGCGGCGCGGGGATGGTGCTGCTGGAGAGCGAGCAGGTATCGCCCGAGCCGGCCCGCGCGGGGCGGTGCTGCGCGGGGCTTCGTGCGGGCCCTCGGGCCCCTGCGGCAGGGGCTGGGGGTAGAAACGGCGGGCGGGGGCTGAGGCTTCCTAACGGGCAGGGCTGTGTGTTCTAGTTCCTGTCGGAGCTGACCAGGCTTTTCCAGAAGTGCCGGCTGTCGGGCAGCGTCTTCATCACCCTGAAGAAGTGTAAGCAGCGGGCGGCCCCGGCGCGGTGGCCCCGGGTCGGGGAGGCCCGGTGGCGCCTGTCCGCCGGCGCCGGGACGGAGGGGCTGCATGGGATTCGGGTGGTGCGGGGCGCCGGCGCTCACCGCCCACCCGGCGCCGGCCCCTTCCCCCCCCTCCCCCCCGCCCCGGCCCCGCTCCTGATCCCACCACGGGGGGTGTGGACTCCCCCCATGTCTCGGTGTTGGGTTCCTGGAAGTACCGAGTCGTGCCCCGAGGTTGGCGAAACCATGAGTGATGTGGTTAACAAAATTAGAGTAGTGGAAGGGGAGAGCTGTCCACGTCGTGTCCCTTCTCGGGCCGGGTCCCTGTCCACAGCGGCTGTGACTGTACTCACTACGGTGTATTTTTCATGCAGATGATGGTCGAACTAAACCTATTCCAAGGAAGGGCTCGGTGGAGGGGTTTGAGCCCTCTGACAACAAGTGTCTGTTAAGAGCTACTGATGGGAAAAAGAAGATCAGCACTGTGGTAAGTTGGAGTCCTATGTTTTTTTTTTTTCAGGTTTGTTTATTTATGCATGCAAGCGCTGGGGTACAGGCTGGGGGTGGGGGGTTGTTTGAGAGGATGCACCAGAGACAGGGCAGGGAACCGAACAGGCAGACTGACCAAAATACACTGCTGAGGGGAGCAACCGGTGAGACAGGAGAGGTCTGCCGTGCCATGTGGGTAGCTCCCTGGCTGGCGGGGGCTCAAACTTGTGCTGCAGAGGCTGCGGACTGCCTCATAGTGTGGTGCCCAACCCCTTATGCCACCAGGGAGGCTGGATTCCTAACTCTGTGACTCAGCATGGGGCACATGTGAACCACTTCCCCCAGTTTTGAGAAATAACTGAGAATTACTATTTAAGTTTATGGAATACAGAATGATGATTTATATATGAGCTATCTTCAGCTATCTTCAGCTGTCTTCTCATAGATATAGTAAAAAAAAATTTCTTCTTCTGATGAAAACTCTTAGGATTTGCTCTCTTTCCTGTATATAATACAGCAAAGTTAGTTATAGTCATTACCCCTATTATAGTTGAATTTGTACGTTGTGATCATCTTCCTGCTATTCCTTCCCGCTCTATCTTCCATTGTTGGTAAACACGGTCTGTGAGTTTGAGTCTTTTTTTTTTTTTAAAGATTTATTTATTTATTTATTTATTTATACAAGCACTGGGTACAGTCAGAAGTGCGGGAGGGTGAGAAAATTCACCAGAGCAGACAGAAGGACCGAAGTACACTGCTGAGGGGAGCAGCGGGCGGCAGGAGAGGTCTGTGCGCCATGTGGGACCCTCCTCCAGGGTGGCCAGGGAGCAGCCGGGGATCGAACCGGCGCTGCACAGGCAGCGGGCAGCTTCGCAACGCAGCACTCAACTGCTGCGCCACTGGGGAGGCCCGAGTTTGAGTCTTGATTGTTTTGTTTTTAGATTCCACATATAAATGAGATCATACAGTATTTGTCTTTCTTTGTATTATTTCACTAGCATAATGCCTTCAAGGTCTATCCAAGTTGCCAAAAAATGGTAGGATTTTTTGCTTTTAGCTGAAGCGTCCTGTTGTAAGTGTATATATGTATTTGTGTATTTATGTGCGTACACACATACAAATATACCACAACTGTATCATCTGTCTATGAACACTTAGGTGTTTCCATGTCTTCACTATTACAAATAATGCTGCTGTGAACATGGGTGTGCAGAATTTTTTAGAGTTAGTGTTTTTGTTTCCTTTGGATATATTCCCAGAAGTGGAATTGCTAGATCATATGGTAGTTGTTATTTTGAGTTTTTGAGGATCCTTCATACTGTTTTCCGTAATGGCTATACCACTTTACAGTACTACCAACAGTACACAAAGGTTCCCTTCCACATCACTGACAGTATTTGTTAGCTTTTTTTGTTCTTGATGATGGCGTAACAGGCCTGAAGTGATACCACATTGTAGTTTTAATTTGCATTTCCCTAATGACCAGTGATGTTGAGCATCATTTCATGTACTTATTGGTGTTTTGTACATCTTCTTTGGAGAAATGTCTATTTGGATCCCTTGCTCATTTTTATTTATTTATTTATTTATTTTTAGAGATTTATTTATTTATTTATGCATACAAGAACTGGGTACAGGCCAGAGGTGTGGGGGGTGAGAGGATTCACCAGAGACAGAGTGGGGAGCAGAAAAGGCAGGCAGACTGACTGAAATACACTGCTGAGGGGAGCAGCGGGCGAGATAGGAGAGGTCTGCTGGCCATGTGGGTCAGCTCCCTGGACGGGGATTGAACTCATGCTTCAGTGGCTGCAGGTAGCATCATAAGTTGCATCTTAACCCTTGCGCCACCAGGGAGCCCCCACCCTTGCCCATTTGGAATTGTATTATTTGGTTATTTTGCTTTTGAGTTATATATATATATATATATATATATATATATTTTTTTTTTTTTTTTCTTTTTTAAAGATTTATTTATTTATTTGTACAAGCACTGGGTACAGTCAGAAGCGCGGGAGGGTGAGAGAACTCACCAGAGCCAGAGGGGAGAGCAGAGCAGGCAGACTGATGAAATACACTGCTGAGGGGAGCAGCGGGCGGCAGGAGAGGTCTGCGCGCCATGTGGGACCCTCGCCAGGCTTCAAGGAATGGAACCAGCGCTGCAGAGGCTGCAGGCAGCTTCGCAACCCATCGCTCAACCGCTGCGCCACCGGGGAGGCCCTCTTTATATATTTTGCATAGTAACCTCTAGATAAGTGATTTGTAAACATTTTTTCCCTATTGCACAGGTTGTTGTTTTACTGTTTGGGTTTTTTTAAGAATTTTATTGATTTAAGATTTTATTTTACTTGTCTTTTGTGTGGAAGAACTGGGGTGTTGGCCAGAGGTGCAGGGCATGAGAGGATTCACCAGAGACAGAGTAGGAAGCAGAACAGGAGAGTCTACTGAAATACACTGGTGAGGGGCACAGCAGGCAAGACAGGAGAGGTCTGTTTTGCCATATAGGTTTAACTCTTGCAGCAGTGGCTGGTGATAGCTTGATAGCGCTCAGACTGTAACCCCTGTGCCACCAGCAAGGAAGGCCATGGTCCTTACTTTTAATGGCACTGTGGGAGGCAGTTGGCATATTCAAATCCTTCTTCCTTTACTGTGCTGGACTTTGAAAGTGTAGTTTTTGGTAGTACTTGATACTTTTACTTTTTAAGCTGATTATTCTTTCATCTTTGTGGTTCATGTAGCAAACACAGCTCTGTGTGAGAGTTGGTACCTTGAGAGAGTTGGACTCCTTTGACAGCCCTCAGAACCTAGGGAAGATAACGTCATTGCCATGTGTGAGAGATTTCAGTAAAGCTGACTAACAGCTGCTTTTCAGAGCCCACTTCCACCTTCTTTTCCATGTTGGTGCATTTTTCATGTGGAACTACTTTCCTCGTTCCTCAGGCAGAGGAAAATGCAGTGTCAAAGTAGACTTTTGTGGATTATAACCCCTGAAATAGGGAAGACATAAAGATTAGAATGTTGTCATTATGAGGCTTTGAGTTATCATCTGGCTACAGAGGTACCATCTGGAGGCAGAGGACCCCTCTATGGAAAATAAGGGTGATCTTTTTTTCTCCCCTTTTCCAGGTGAGCTCCAAAGAAGTGAATAAGTTTCAGATGGTGAGTTTCTGGTGTTCCTACTTTCCCTTCCTCAGGGCAGGAGTTGGCGATACTGAACACTAGATTGAGAGCGATACTTAGGTTCGCTGCTCTCCTTTGTTTTACCAATATTTGATAAGTACAAGTTGATAATATCTTTAGTTTAGATAATACCTTTAATTTTCTCACATTTTGTCATCGTGGGCTTCACAGATGCTCTACCTATAGTAGAGTTGAACAGGAAGTTGCCTGCAATTTTCCCTTATTGCTTATTTTAAAATGTACGACTTACTCTGAAGGGTTGTATTTGAAAGTTACTATACTGGGAGTGTTTTTCTTTTCTTTCTTTTTTTTTTTTTTTTTAAAGATTTATATATTTATGCATACAGAGTTGGAGCACAGGCCAGAGATGTGGGGGATGAGAGGATTCACCAGAGACAGAGCAGGGAACAGAACAGGCAGACTGACTGAAATACACTGCTGAGGGGAGCAGCAGGCAAAACAGGAGAGGTCTGCCTCGCCATGTGGGTTTCTTCCTGGCCGGCCCGGGATCGAACTCATGCTGCTGAGACTGTGGACTGCTTCATAGCGCGATGCTTTAACCCCTAGTACCACCAGGGAGACTCTGGGAGTGTTTTTCTTTTATGGCCTTTTCCTTTAGATATTTCAGTGTCCCATGGAATTTTACTTTTTTTATTTTAGCCTTCAGATTTGGGCTACCCTAAGTCTATTATGGAAATAGATTTATTATGGGACAGCTGCCCCATGAATTGGCAGCTTTCCACTAATATTGTGCTCTGTGTCTTTTAGGCTTATTCAAACCTATTGAGAGCTAACATGGACGGTCTGAAGAAGAGGGACAAAAAGAGCAAGAGTAAGAAGAGCAAAGCAGCACAGTGAAGGACACCTGATTTCCAGCTTTCACCAATTAACCACTGAATTGCTGTTTTTCCTTTTGGCCACAAGGCTAGATCTCTGGTTCCCCTAAAATAACTGTCCTTATGTGAGATAAGAGTTATTCTGGATGAAAGAAGGGCTTCTGTGTTTACAGGGTAGTTGTAAGAAGCCAGTTTGTTTTAGATGGCTAACTGATCTCTGTTGCATGGTTGTAAATTCCTGGATGATAGTTTAAAGTCTCTGTAGCCATCTGTGCGAAGAGCAATGTATCATCATTAAACCTGTTTATCAACACCGAGCATCTCTTTGTTCTTTTTCCCATCCCATGTTAGTTTCTGTCAATGACTACTAATTTTGGACTAATGTGATCCTAAATAGGCTTTAGCCCATCTTCTGGGTCACTGGAATTAAAACTTGACAATTTTATGAAAAGTTGTAGTATCTCGTGGATATTCTGTCCAAATGGCTGCGTAATTTTATTACCATAGTTCCTTTAGCAAACTTGAGTTTCTCATAGCCAAATATAAGTATTTGCTTTTATTAACTAACTTAGGATGTTCATGTTTTAAAATCATCAAGAATAGAGGTTCCAAGTTAATGATGATACTTGGTTTCTTTATACCTTTATTTTGGTCATTTTCCTGTGTTTAATAGGGCTAAGGAAAGAACAAGACTATTTTCTTGTGTTCCAGATTCATAAAACCTATAGTGTTAATATGCAATTAATTAAAAGGCAGCAGATATATGAAAGCATTTATTATATTTACAAAGATAAATTTACAATATACTATACATGAAAAAAATGACAAAGCTCAAAGCTGAAGAATAGCTTCATAAAGTTAACTTAAAATTACAATGAATGTACACTTCATAGCATCAGCTCCTGTCCGAACAATGTAAAGACAGTCCTTTAGGATTAAAATAAGATTCTGTAGTAGTCATCTCTATAGCTGTACAGGAACAGCACAGACACCCTGCAAAAGAGAAAAGGTTGGCATGGGTGAAGAATTGAGTTTACTTTTAGGACATTTAACTGTAGGAGTTTTGTTTAATCAAAAACAAATGGAAGACGATTCATTAACATGTTTTACAGAAGCTGTAACTGCTAGGAGTCTGCAGTATAAGGTTCTACATAAAGAGACCACTACTCACTCACCTCACAGGCTTTGTTGTCTTTTTTTTTTTTAATTTTTTTTAAGATTGATTTATTTATGCATACAAGAGCTGGGGTACAGGCCAGAGATGCAAGGGGTGAGGGGATCCACCAGAGACAGCGGGGAACAGAACAGGCAGACAGACTGACTGAAATACACTGCTGAGGGGAGCAGCGGGCAAGCCAGGAGAGGTCTGCCATGTGAGTTTCTCCCTGGCTGGCCGGGGATCGAACGAACTCATGCTGCAGAGGCTGTGGATTGCTTCACAGTGCAGTGCTTAACCCCTTGCGCCACCAGGGAGCCCCCTTTGTTGTCTTTTAACAGCAGTTTTATGGCAGATGATAACATGAAAGATAATCATGTCTTCTTTCATTTAAACATTTCTGGAAGTGAGTATCTGGGTAAATAAAATTATAATTTGGAAAGCTTCTGGAACTGTTAGCCCCAGAGTGCTAATATGACTTTTGTTACTTGTTACTGACAAGATCATGGTGGCTGATTCACAATCCTGAGCAAGATTTACTGGTTGCCAGTGCAGTTGTAACTTAAAATAGCTTATCAGCCAAACCTTAACAAGACAAAGTAGGTGACATTCTAAAACTCCTCCCTGAATTTGGGGCCTCCCCGGTGGCGCAGCAGTTGAGCGCTGGGTTGTGAAGCTGCCCACAGCCTCTGCAGCGCCGGTTCAATCCCCGGCTGCTCCCCGGCCACCGGAGGAGGGTCCCACATGGCGCGCAGACCTCTCCTGCCGCCCGCTGCTCCCCTCAGCAGTGTACCTCGGTCCCTCTGCCGGTTCTGCTCCCTGCTCTGGCTCTGGTAAAATTCTCTCACCCTCCCGCGCTTCTGACTGTGCTCAGTGCTTATATAAATAAATAAATAAATAAACAAACAAATAAATAAATAAATCTTGGGAAAAAAAAAAAAAAACTAGTGAGTTAGGAATATTAATTCAAGAAAAAAAAAAAAAATAAAGCTCCTCCCTGAATTTTAACCCATGTGAAACCTATGCCTAAGTGATAACTTACTTTTTTTCTACTTTGATGTTATAAATTTCATCACAGACTAACTTGAGGTATCTTTGCTTTGGCAGGCGTGACAGCAGCTGCTTCACAGTTGTGTTAAATGCCTGTTCGTCAGCATCCCACTAGGAAAAAAGCAGATAAGCCTTAACAGCAGGTACTAGGATTTATTAACTGGCCCTCTCGGGCTCACATCATGAAATGTCAGTGCCTTCTCCCCCTTCAAAATGTGAGAAGAAATAAGATGCAGAGAGATTGCTGGGGTTCTTCCTTTGAAGCACTGGTTTTCTTTAAAACAAGACTGCCTCATCAGAACCTGATTAACAGCGCTGCAGCCCCAGGGCGCTAATGTGGCTTTGGACCAATTATTTTTGCCTCTTGTTTACTCTGCAACATGGAGATGCTACCCTGATGTGCATCCATTTGCATGGATCACAAAACAGGACATTGAGTACAGTGGTATATACTTATTTATAAGACAACAACAGATAATGTAGTATGAAATGTTAGTTCTGGAGCAAAGTTCATTTTCATCCGGCTCTGCTACTTGCTAGTTGGGTGACCTTGGGTAAGACATTTAACCTCTCTGCTCCCATTTATCTGTAAGATGGGGATAATAATGGTACCTCCTTAGAGTTGTTATGATTAAATGAGTTAATATTTGTAAAAGGCTCAGAACAAGGACTGCCAGAGCCTAAAACAGTAAAAACACAGGTGTTTATTAAATAATGTATCTCTAAAAAGTCACTAGGAAAGTATGATTTCCTCAAATTATGACACAGTAATGTATTTGTCACATAAAAGGAACAAAGTTACTAAATTCTTGGCACCGCCATAAAAATACTCAATATCATTAGGAAAATAATGCCATTTTAATATGATTCTGGCAAATGAAGGGCAAATCTTTGGGATTTTAAAGGTCACAGTACAGAAGAGTTCATCTCTTACCTCTAGTGATAAAAACTGTAAGATAGTTTCTTTGGGTAGATCCACCTGTTGATACACAGAAATGTATGTCACCTGTCAGGAATCTCAGGCAGCACGTACTGGTTTGTGATTATTGTGTCACTTTGGATGGGGCAACTGAAATAGGGTCGGCAGGGTCTGAGGTGTTACTGTGCTATATAAAATGGACTTAGTGAACTGTGCAGAGGTAAAATCTCAGCTCCGGCAACCTCATACTCCCTGTCTCCACATACCACCCCTGTAGCAAAGGTTTGACTGTAGCTACCTGTTCTTGGTCTAGGCTTAGTGAAGTAAAAGCCTGAAATACTTAGAAAAATGAATTTTTTTTTCGTTTCCACCCTCCACCCTTTTCAGTAGAAAGCAAGAGAACAAAAACCCATCAATTTTCTCCCCAATTCTTTAACAGATTTAGATTACACATGGCTCTTATCAGTGACAAGAGGCTTGTATTCTAACACTGGTGACACTGCAGGAAAGCTCTGCCCATGCTCTGCCAGCATCCTCAAAATGTTAGTCACTTACAGCCAAAATTTCAATTTCATTGCTTTTCTGATGTAAGTTGGCAAGGGAGGTCTGAAGTCGGGTTTGCACCTAGCAAGGAGAGAACATGTCAGAATCCAGAACGTGTCAAACCAGGCCACCTTTCTTAGCAGCTCCATTGCCTGTTCTAGGAAGCAATCTAGCCTACACAGGATTCTAAATATCTAAGGATTTGCTTTTAATCCACCTCAAAATGTCTAGCCTATTATGAGCTCAGGGGAAATGAGATTTTATAGCCTATCTTACTCATTTAATAATCCACCTACTTTATTTCTTTATAACTTAAACAAAAGAAAAGCAGCGCAGTGAAGAAGTGCACATGGAAGCAGGGCCGTTGTAGCATGAAGCCCAATTTGGGAAAAGAGGAAGGTGACAGCAATGAGAACACGGAACTGAAATGTAGTGATGAGAGCCGTACAATGATACAACAAGTGAGTTTCTACCCGGCATCCCGAGAAACGGGTGAATTTACAAAACTATTTTAATCTGATTTCATTTCTAAATAATGACCCCTCCGTAACACTCACCATCTTCCCAAGTGAAGCCAGTGTCCTCACTGTGCTCCTTAGCATTGTCTGTAGCACCCCGCTTGTCCTTCCACTAGGCACACCCTAATCTTTCCCCTCTGCCAAGTTTAATCCTTCAGGGATGACCTCCATGAAACTGTTTTCTTAATCTATGTTAACACTGTCTTCTCACTCCCCCTTGTGTCTGTAACACACACTACATTTAATTCAGCATTCCAGTACATGTTTCTGTTGTTCTCCAACTAACTGTACAATGCAGATGGCTGTCAGGTTGTAATAACTCTGAGGACTGGGGCTGTGTCAGTTGTCTTGTATACTTTACACGGCACTTAGCACACAATCAGGCATATAGCACATCCAACGCAGTTTAAGTACTGCAGTCTCTTCTGCTGTGTTATTTAAAACCTCATCAGCCCTCAGAGCCAGATCAAAGTTTTTGTTTAGAACAGGTGCCCACCTAGAATGAGAACTGACGATGCCCCTTTGGAGGACAGATGGGGCCGAATCCTCACACCAGAGAGATGCTTTGTATGGATGCAAATTTCAGAAGCCACTCATAAAAGAGTGGGAAGCAATTTGCTTTCAGGAAACTATTTCTTAGTTTTCTTCCTCCTGTTAAGCTCACATTAGCACGCGAAGGAAACTCTGCCCGCATACCTGAGTTTCATACCGCCGCCTCGTGCTGGCTGACAGCTTCTCTGGGGCGATCACACTCACGATGGGAACAACGGTTGTTCCGTGGATTTCAAACAAACCTGAGACAGACAGATTCAGAATTTATGGTCTTGTCTAAGACCCACTTTATATAACATATAACAGAGACAGCGGAGATGATTAGTCGAATCCACTCTAGTGTGACTCTAGGGGCTAGATTAGGTCTGCCTTTTGTTTTCTGTCTCTAAAGCTGTGTTTAACCAGGAGGAGCCCAAAACCCCAACACTTAGCGATTTTGATGCTTCTGTCAAGACCACCAGCCTTCTCGAGTGGAGGTAAGCGGTGACAAAGGTATAGGGAGGCAAAATATGAATACCAAACCCTCATGAACCTAAGAAAATAAAATTTACTCTCTCCTAAACGCTAATACACCTTTAAATTTCTGAAATATGATGACGGCAGAAAGTCAAGGCTAATAGAAAAGAACCCAAAAGATCCAATACTGGTAAAGCCAAATATGTCTTCTCATGTCCCTTCCTGGGATGCTTCAGGAAGGTTGCTAGATAGAAAATTAAAGGTAGAAGAACTAC